TGAGTGCTCTGGCCTGAACAGCCATCACTATCACCATCACCACGAGTGCTCCAGCCAGCGCCCAGCAGGGCTCATGTCCCTGAGGGATCACCATCTGCAACTCCCAGGTGAGATCTTGACTCTTTCAGGGCCCAAATAAGGTTTGTAGACCTTCAGTCCTCCCTCAAGTGAGAGAAAAGGACAGAGTGAGGACACGTAGAGGAACAACATGAAGACACTAAGGTCAGTAAAGAAAGAATCAAGCCCCATATGGCAGGAGAATGGGGAGATGCCTTAAATTTAAGCTGAAATCCTCTTGTAAAGCTATGGAGAAGAATATAATTGACACATCAGACTCTTTTTCTCCATAACTCATTGAAAAGTATGCAGGATGAAGCATTCAAATTGGAAATAGAGCAAAGGCATCTATGCTAAAGTAAGCAGATGTTGAAGTAGCTGTGATACCATAAGAAGTTTGAACAGAGAGAGAGAGAGGAGTGATGAAGACCCTGTGCTCCCAGGCAGAGCAGGAGACCACCTCTGTTCCCAGAGATTATTTCAAAGGTAGATAAAGAGAACTTTTACTCTTAAACAGCTCATCTTTACAATAGTACCCCATAAGCTGACGTGGCCTATAAACACAAGTGTGAGAAGGCTGCAGAAAGACGGGAGGGACTTCACAATTGCAGATTTTCCAGGCAGCTGCTATTTGTGAAAATTAAACGCTACAATGGAACTGTTTCTTGTGGAGAAGTCTCCATGGCATGGCAAGGGACACTCCTCTCCCTAAGAGAACTGAAGAAAGGTTGTTCCAGAGGTGATAAACTGACTGAATTGTTCTGTACATTGTTAGTGGGAAAGAAAAGGTTGTAGGGGGGAGGAGAAATGTTCTGAAAGTTTTATTTTGATTCTTATTATTCTTCATTTTAGTTACTACTAATAAAGTTTTCTTCATACCCTTTTAAAGTTTTGAGCCTGCTTTGCCTTCCTCCTGATCCTGTCTCACAGCAGGAAATGAGTGAGTACATTCTAGTGAGTGCATTTAGCCAGCACTCAGCCCACCACATGATTTGCTGCATTGGCCAGGAAATCTCAAATTGGCAAACCAAAACAACTACAATAATTTCTCTAATTCTAACTCTAAACATCTGAAAACGGTGGAAAGCAGGTTTCAAGCAGTCAGCACATGCATTTTTGTCCAAATTATACTTTTTGTTAGGATGCACAGCACACCCAGAAATTCAGTGCCTATCCCTGTACAGCTGCATACAAGCAATCACCTCCAGTTTCTCTATTTCAATAGCAATACCCACAATACATAACTTTCCACAGGCAGTGCAATATATAAAAGCCCATTTCTGTTCAGCTCTATAGCAGCTTCTCCAACACTTCTAAAATTAAGAAATTTGTAGGAGTTGAGGCTTTAACTATTTTCATTCCTATCATGCTTGATCCATTTTCACAGGATCAATTTTCTAAGCCAGGGGCTCAAAATTTCCCCTCAATAATTCTTAGGTCACATTGGTCCTGTTTTGACTTACCACATTAACTAGTTTAGGTTTTAAAATGTGTCCATCAAGACTGAAATACTGAACAGGTAGTTTCTAACTTTTCTGTTTAAGAGCCTAATTAGACATCAACTGAAAGTCAAACTCTATTTCTGCTCAAATACAAGAGTCTTTTTCTTACTGCATTTTCTTCTTTGTTTTGGCAGATTTACCAGGTTGGCTCTGCCAAAAGTAACAATGGGACGGTGCAAAAAGCTGTTCCACTATCAGAGCCAGCATCTTTTATCTCACCAAAGATAGCAAGAACCAACTTTTGTCTCACCACATGCAATAAAGAGGTGAACTGCTTGGGAAGATCATCAAAACTGTTACAGAATGTAGCCAACTTTATCAGATGGGTGCATTTAGAAATCCTTTGACTCCAGATATCTCTGGGAAAGAAGTCCTGAAGCCTGCAGTAACTAGAGCCCAGACAGGTGGGCACCCTGCTCTAACAGGGTGCACTGGCACATCACTTGGGCTGCA